AATTTAAATAAAATTGCGATCAGGATATGCAGCATTGAATGTGTAGATCAGTTACTTCTTCGTATGATCTAATATGGTCTCCAAATTTTCGATAAAAAACAGCATTATCTTTTCTTTATCGGTTAACATTTAAAAAAAAAAATTTGAAATTGTAGTTAGAAAAAGAAAGGGAAAAGACAAAGAGTAAGATGCGAGAGAGCACGACTCGTCTTTAAAATACAAAGATCGAGAAGCGTTATCGTGAAACGCGGGTATGCGCGAGTTTCGACTGAGTACGTGTGATATTACGTACGTGAATGAATAACCGCGTTTGATGCGAGCGAATGAACAACTAGGCTGGGAGCCTAAAAAAACATAAACACAGGAGAAAAACAAGAATAACTTTGTTTTTCGTGTCTCGAGTTAGATGATATGACCGGCTTAGTTGTTGATGATAGCCTCATAACTCTAAATATGCCTAATAAAAAAATACTTTATTATAGGTTTTTGGAAAGCCCTTGAAATAAGCTACAAGAATATGTAATGAAAAGTGGGGGGTCCAATTTAAAAAATTCAATTTGACCTTCGTATGACCTTCGTCCTCCACCCAAAGTCAAATTTTTAGCCATCATTAGGTACATTTTATTAAGCCCTACAACTTTGCTACTTACATATTTTTCGCTGCAGTTGATCTCTTTCGAGATATTTCACCGTTTCCGGACTTTTTGCCAACCCTGTATATGTTTATTATTGTCGGCTCTTGTGGAAAATCTTTTGCAGTACTCACAGGCAATTTGTAGCTCGACCGTATAAATGACAGTAACGTCGTTCCTCGATCCATGGCAGGAGTAAAATCCCTGGTCCCTTTGCTCGATAGCGTATATCATGAGGGTGCCGTTCTCGAAGATCTTCCGCTCGTCGTCGCTTTCCAGCGGGTTCTCGTTGGTCCCGAAGAACCATTGCACGTCGTCGGCGTCCTCGAAGACGCAGTGCAGCGCGGCCGGCTCGCCACGTTTGGCGATCAGGTTTCGCGGCACGACCTTAATCGTCGCGGTCTCATTTCCGGAAACGATTAGCGGATAGCTCTCGGCCACCGGCGAGGAGCCCGCCTTGTTCTTGGCCAGGCAGGTATATATACCGCTGTCCTCCGCGACTGTTCTATGTATATGCAGCTTCTTCTTCTTGATATCGATATGCTTGACATCCTCGCTGCTGCTTTGCGCCAGTCTCATCGTGTTCCTGCAAAAACGAAACGGGCGTCCCCTCGCTGTGTGACTCCGCCGCCGTCCTTCGCGAAATACGCAAATTAGTTTACGAATGCACGTTCGCAATCAAATCTCGCAGCACACCTCGTTACACTCGCGCGCTACTCCTCGTTTCTACATTCAGACGGCGAAACGCCGTTAATTCACCCCAGTAAACCTCGTTCCATGGAAAACTGCAGTTCTCCTTCGCGTAATTTCAATATCGTCATTCTCCCGCCATTCAATTCGTCACGACCTTAAACACACCGCCCTATTCGCCATCTTACGCCCAAATACCAACTACTCGCGCACCCCATTACGGTCTTCAACTTGAAAACCGCCGTAAGCGCTCGAAAATGCCACACGAAGGATTGCAAGTTTTCTATTCTTCAAAGCGCGACGTACCCGATGTCATTAAACTCCTTCGTTCGAATGAACTACGCGTTTCGGGTGTCCCGCGACTCTGACGTAAACCAAGGGGGCCAGGGGGGAGGGGGAGAGGTAATGATTTGAAGTGACGGCAGAAGTGAAACTCCGCGACGGCATATGCCGGCGAGGGAGTGTCACTTCATAATTCACCAGGTCGGTTCCGTAAACGTCGGGTGTCAGTTACGCCGGCAACTTGGTTCGCCCCCGCGGCCTCTTCGACTCCTCCACCGACTTCACCGCCGTCCGCGCGTCGTTGTTCGCATCAAGCTGGCTTTGCCGGCATTACCGACGGTAACCCCGGCTGCTCTACCTTTTCCACCCTCTTGCCCCTCCCGTTGCGTTATCGCGCGAGACGCGCAGGTAGGTAAATAGACAAAGTTCTATAACTAACTTGAACCACTCGTATGTCATGTCGCCGGAGCCGTCAACGTGACACCGAAGCTCAACCTCGCTGTCCACGTGGATGGTGGACGGCAGTTTCGGCTGTTGCAGCTGCACGCTCGCCTCGCTGATCCCTGAAACAGAAAATCGACGGTGCCGGATGAAGCGATATGACCAACGATTAATCAGAATGAAGAGTTGTACACATGGCGTCATGTGTATGCCCTTATCGTTCCTGCCTAGATCGAAAGTTATGCGATTTTCTTTATACGCCGAAAAGGAATTTATATTCACTTTAAACTAATATATTCAAATATATTCTAATGCATTCTATATATATTCTAATGCATTCTAATATATTCAAGCTAACAATCATTGTTTCACATATAAACAATGATATATCATTTTTTTTTTAATTTTAAAGCCTTGAATCTCAACACAATCTTATAATTTTATTTGAATATTACAACAATCTCATAAGAAGTACAACATGATTATTCTGATGATAATGATACTCTATTCCGACATTGAAAAACATATTATCGATCTAATATTTCGTGTTTGCCATTCATAAAAATTATTTTTGAATAATAAGGACATATTTTTTTCAGTTGTACACCGCATAAAATGTAATTTATCTTCTTCTAACGTTATGTAATTTTATTTTAAGATTTACATGTCAAAAATTTTACTTTATATAATGCCTTAAAATACTTCTAACTAACTTATATATAGTTGCTTATACATGAAACAATGATTGTTAATTTGAGTATATTATTTTTAAACGGATTTCTTTTTTTGTGTGTATGTGGTATGTCACAATATATCGTTCCGTAAACGCCAGTGACAGTGTGGTCGATGGTGAACAACAAAGTGAGTCACGATATCCCAAGTGATGTACGATTACGCATGCTATACGTATGTTACGACACTCAAGTTTCTCGAGAGATTCCTTGGCGCTAGACGTAGATCAACGGGAGAAAGAAGGAAAATCGAGACGAAACAGGACGCGGTCTCGGGAGAAGAGAGGAGCGCGAAATAAACGACCTTTGCCTCCAATTCTTCGCGACGCTCGAAGCTGTTTTCCCTCTTTCTCCCGCCGTCGTTGAGGAGCGCCCGGAGGAAGAGCGCGTCGAATAACCGCGCGGGTATCACGAGAGAGAGCGAAGGAGACCAGCTCGGAATTCTAGAATGGGAAAGGAGCATTCGCGCAGGACAATGGGAGGGAAAGCAATTCCCCATAGAGATAGAAGAAGTCGGAGGGATCAGAGGACGAAAGAGGAAGGAAGAGGTGAGTGGAGGACGGAAGAAGGAAGGGAAGACGGAGAGAAAGAGGGGATGCTCTGTTCCTGAGAATGTCAGGTCGATTCCTCCCGTTTGCCGCTCTCCGCGTTTTTGTTCCCGTCGGATCAGAACCACCACCACCACCACCACCACCACCATCACCGTCGTCGTCGTCGTCGTCTCGTATTCCTCGTCTGAAGACGAACGTGCACGCGCGCTGCTTCGCCGACGAATTTAATCGAGTCCAATAAAACACCGACTAAAAGAGAGGACGCGTTCCTTTTCGTTTATTCTCCGGCTCCGCGGCCGCGACGAACGCGTCGAGAGTGGCTCTTGGTCGTCAAAGCCCCGTGTCTTGCGCCCATGTGAGAAATACAGACGGGTCCTTCCCCATGTATTATTCGCGGAAGACGGAGGACGAGGAGCAAGAGAAGAAAAAGCAGCCGAAGGGTCTCATCTGTTCGGCGTCCTCGCGTCGGGATCACGTTTTTCCCCGCCCGGACTTCGCGACGACGACGATGCGGCGGTTTGAGGCTGCGGTCTAAACGAAAAGTGCCGCGGACACGTACCGACCCGGGAGACAATATATATCAATCCTCGCGTGGATCCCTGTCGCATTTTTTTACAGCGCGGCATCGTTCACTCGCGAAGCCGGGCTACTCTGCCCCCAACTCTTGCCTCTTCGCGGAGGACGACGAGAACGCGTGAATTAAAAATAAGAAGAAATAACGTTCGCGCGGCGACGAATCACAACAAGTTCGGCGAACTTGTCATTCTCCGATCGGCCGTGATTGAATATAATCAGCGGTAAATCTACACTCAAAAACCCTTAACGAACGAAACCGAAGTCAGTCGCGATTCACTGCCCCCTCCCCCCCCCCGGCCCCGATCTCTGGCTACGCGCGACTCGAAGGGCACGTCGTAACTCGCGGGGGCAACAACAATTGCCAGAAGGCTGATGAAGACGATAAAGCTTCGCTCATTAATTTGATTCATTAGTCCAGGTCGTGAAATCGATCGGCCACGCCGCGGCGCGCCAGCACCCTCTGATAAAATGAAATGTAATTACGCGGTCGACACCTCGTTAAAAAATACGCCAATAATTGAAAGAAAAACGCGCGTCGTTAGCGCGCAGAGAATTACATTTGAACGGGCGCCGCAAATTGTGCTCACACATACACACACGCGCAGATTGACGTGTGGAGGGCACGTAAGCTCGCGATAATTCACGGAGAGACCCCTTCTCGCGTAGAGGTAACGATTCGTATTTCCACACGCAGAGAGAGAGAGGGGGGGGGGGAGAGAGAGCAATTTATTA